CTCCACCCCAATTTGAATCCTAGTTGTCCTTAATCAGCTCAAATGACATTTTTCCAAGAAAATTTTTCTTCTACCTTTCCCAGGCACAATGATATTCTTCCTCCCATTCATTCTCAGATAGTTTCATGAATCTGTCATCATTTATAGACATTGATCTAAAAACTCTTCATTAGAAAATGAATTATCTTAAGCATAAGCAGATCTGAGGAAGCACCCTAGATTGCACTCTCCTAGTTACAGGGGTGTTAACCTCGAGTCCTTTAGAAAGAAAAGGTTTGGGAATCAAAATACAGATTTAAATTTATTAGCCAGGGCACATTGGACAAATCCCTTACTTAGCTGTGTTTAAACCACCATTTTTCCAATGGTAAAGTAATGCAAAAAAGCATGATAAAGTCCTAACTCCATGAAAGCACGTAATAAGTAAGCCCTGCTCAGTAATAGGGCTTTTCTTCCTCGGAAAGCAACCACTTACCTCCAACAGCAGCTATTACCACAAGAGGGCACTATCAGCACAGCTGGAAAAGCATAGCTGCTTTGCCTTCTCACATTCAATCAGCTACCAGCTCTGGCCTAACCTTTGAATCCATGGTGCATGAACTTTGAAGAATGGATGGCCTTTGACATGCATATTGTGGTGATGACCTTGGTACCCCCAAGTAACAAAAGCAGATCAGGGGTAACAAGAACCTAACATGGGGGTGAAGAGCAAAGGTCTTTTGAGTTGGACTGATTAGGGTTCAAACGTGGATTCCGCAGCCACACTGGACAACTGCATCTCACTGAGCTCATCTATAAGACATGGTTGTGCCAGGCTTCAGTCAGAGAGAAGGCTGGGTGCCTGCCCCTGTTAGCTCAGTCTGGCTGCCTGGCTGGCTGAGCAAAGACATGATGAGCGCTGCGAGGAAAAGTCCTGGGGGACCTCGTCTCTGCCCACTGCTGTGTGTGCACCAACTAGCTCTGCCCTGCTCCTCCCAACTGCACCTTTTCTGTGGAGCCCCCACTACCGACAGCCTTGAGTGCAAAAGCCAAGTGAGACAAGAAACCAGCTAAGGGCTAAATGAAAGCATATATATATCACAAATTAGAAGGGAAAAAAACCTCAAACTCTACGAGGACTTTGAAAAGTTAAAACACATGCCTCAAGGACAGTCTGTTCAACACACAGGTGTCAGGAAGACTGGATATTCACGTGCAAATGAATGGAGTTGGACCCCCTACCTTGCACCACATGCAAAAACTAACGAAAAATGGATCCAAGACCTAAATGTAACACCTAAAATCATAACACTCTTGGTAGAAAAAATAGGATAATGACACCAAAAGCACAATCAACAAAAGTAAAAGTAATAAACTACTACATCAATTTTTTAAATTGCATCAAAGAACACAAGAGCAAAAAGGCACCCAATGGGAGAGAATATTTGCAAATAACATATTTGATAAGGGGCTAAAACTCAGAATATATAAAGAACTCTTATGGGACTTCTGGCCAAGATGGAGGTGTAGGTAGGTACACTGTGCCTCCTGGCACAACCAAAATACAGTCGACAATTTAGAAACAAAAAACAACCAGTACTGACAGAATTGAACTGTATGGAAGTCCAACAACCAAGGAGTTATAGTAGACACACTCACCCAAACTAGTAGGAGGGGTGGAGTCAAGTGGCTGGGCAGAGAGGGGTCACCGCAAAAAAAAAAGCGGTGGCTGGCAGACCCAGCGAGGCAGCAGATTGTGGAGGGGCGCAGTGCACAAGGCGGCTGGCGGATCAGAGGATCCCACATTCGAGCACAGATAAACCAGGTGAAAGTGGAGAGTGAGACAGATGGTGCAACCTAGGCTACCAACCCGAGGAAATAAAGCCTCAAACCACTGATTGAAAACACCTGTGGGGGTTGAGGTGCTGGGAGAGACTCCCGGCCTCACAGGAGAGTTTGTTAAAGAGACCCGCAGGGTCCTAGAACGTACACAAGCCCACTCACACAGGAACCAGCACCAAAACGGCCCAGTTTGCTTGGGGGAAGCAGCAAAAGTGCCTGAAATCCAGCAGAGAGCAGAGCAAGCCCCGTGTTCCCTCTCAGACCCCTCCCCCACATATGGCATCACAACCCAGCAACGTGGGTTGCCCCGCCCTAGTAAACAACTAAGGCTCCACCCCTCACTACATAACAGGTATGTCAAGACAAAAATGGCCCAAATGAAAGAACAGATCAAGGCTCCAGAAAAAATACAACTAAGTGACAAAGAGATAGCTAACCTATCGGATGCACAGTTCAAAACACTGGTGATCAGGATGCTCACAGAATTGGTTGAATTTGGTCGCAAATTAGATGAAAAAATGAAGGCTACACTAAGTGAAATGAAGGAAAATGTACAGGGAACCAATTATGATGCGAAGGAAACTGGGACTCAAATCAATGGAGTGGAACAGAAGGAAGAAAGAAACATCCAATCAGAAAAGGATGAAGAAACAAGAATTCAAAAAAATGAGGAGAGACTTAGGAACCTCCAGGACATCTTTAAACATTCCAACATCTGAATTATAGGGGTACCAGAAGGGGAAGAGGAAGAGCAACAAGTGGAAAACTTATCTGAACAAATAATAAAGGAGAACTTCCCCAGTCTGGCAAAGGAAATAGACTTCCAGGAAGTCCAGGAAGCTCAGAGTCCCAAAGAAGGTGGCCCAAGGAAAAACACACCAAGGCACATCATAATTACATTACCCAAGATTAAAATGAAGAAGAGAATCCTAGAAGCAACAACAAAAAAGGAGGCAGTTAACAACAAAGGAGTTCCCATCAGACCGTCAGCAGATTTCTCAAAAGAGACCTTGCAGGCAAGAAGGGGCTGGAAAGAAGTATTCCAAGTCATGAAAGGCAAGGACCTATATCCAAGATTGCTCTATCCAGCAAAACTTTCACTTAGAATGGAAGGGCAGATAAAGTGCTTCTCAGATAAGGTCAAGTTAAAGGAGTTCATCATCACCAAGCCCTTATGATATGAAATGTTAAAGGGACTTATCTAAGAAAAAATTAAACATGTACAGTAAAATGACAGCAAACTCACAATAATTAACAACCACACCTAAAACAAAAACTAAGCAAACAAGTAGAACAGGACAGAATCACAGAAATGGAGATCACATGGAGGGTTATCAGTGGGGGAGTGGATGGGGAGAGGGGGAAAAGGTGTAAGAGAATAAGCATGAATGATAGAAGATAGACAGGGGGAGGGTAAGAACAGTATGGGAAATGTAGAAGCTAAAGAACTTACAAGTATGACACATGGACATGAACTAAAGACGGGGGAATGTGGGTGGGAGAGGGTGTTCAGGGTGGAGTGAAGTGAAGGGCAAAAATGGGACTACTGTAATAGCATAATAAAATATTTAAAAAATGAATAAAAGCAAAATCCAACTTAAAAATGGACTCTAATAGACATTTATCTAAAGCAAATATATAAATGCATGAGCATATGAAAAGATGATCAACACTACTAATCATTAGGGAAGTGCAAACCAAAACCACAATGAGTAATGTGGAATCTAATGAACAAAATAAACTGATGGACAAACTGAAACAGAAGGGGGTTGGGGAGACTGGAAGAGATTAGCCAAAGAACATCTATGCATGTATTCGTAGCCCATGGACACAGACAATAATGTGGTAAAGTGGGGGGAGGGTTTGGTGGAGAGGGACAAGGTGGGGGGTCATCTGTAATAGTGTCAACAGTAATCTTTTAAAAACCAAATGAGTTATCATCCCCTTACAACCACTAGGACAGCTACTATCACTAAGACAAATGGTGGCGAGGATGTGGATAAGTTGGAACACTTTGTGCGCTGCTGGTGGGAATGTACAATGGTATAGCCACAATGGGGAAAACCATAGCAGTTGTTCATAAAATTAAAAATACAACTACCATATGACCCAGCAATTCCAAAGTAACTGAAAGCACATTTGCACAGCCATTACTATGGTTCTGAGTCCCCTCCAAATTCATATGTTAAACCCCTAATCCTCAATGGGATGGTATCTGGAGATGGACTCTGGAAGGTAATCAAGGTGATGAGGTTGGAGCCCTCCTAATAGGATAAGAGGCAAAACACAGCTGTTTCCTCTCCCTGCTGTCCCCCACGTGAGGATGAGAGAAGATGAACATTTCCAAACTCAGAAGAGGGTTCTCCCCAGCCCCTAGATCTGCTGACCCCTTGATCTTGTACTTCCCAGCCTCTGGAACTGTGAGGAATAAATGTTTGCTGGTTAAGGCACCCAATCTGTGATAATTTACAGCAGTCCAAACTTGGACCCAGGCTGCAGGGGTTTGCTTACCTGTAGCATCAGGGCCCTGGAAAACACAAACAGAAGTTTGCAGCCAAGAAAGTAAGGATGACACCAGCCTGAAGTTATAGGTAAGCTCATGCTCAAAGCCCTGATTCCCCGACAGCTTCCAGGGGATGATTATACAGGGGAAAAAAGAAATCATGGTGACTAGGAGCTAGGGCTGTGGTCTCTACGGATTGGCTGGTGCCAGGGTCGGGTGTAACTGATCACTGCACTTGGTCCTGATGCCAGCCACGCAGTTGTTCTACCCAGCTTCTCAAGGATTCGTTCTGTGGATCCTTCTGCTTTCCTGGGTCCAGAGCTAAACACAGCTGAGACCAAGATGTTGTCTAGTTTGGTGGAAAACTCTGTCTCCATGGGCAGTAGACCCAGGACTTTGTTCCTAAGACTGCTGGATGTTGACCAGAACCTCACTGTCCTGAGGGCTTAATGACTAAGCAGGAGAGAGGGAGGTGGGTGAGTCAGGACACCTGGGTAAGGTTAGTTTGAGCCAAGGGAAAAATCAGAAGAAAAGGTCATATTAAAGAAAATAAGGTTTTGGCACAGTTACAAACTAAGACACCACAATTAGCATTATTCACAACAGTCAAAAGGTGGAAGCAACCCAAGTGTCCATCAGTGGTAAACATAAACAAAATACAGATACGTGTGTTCAGGAAAACATATTTATTTGACATTATAAAAATATTTAGGCACATAATTTTCATGGTTATGTCACCTGATTTACATAATCTCAATCCTCAGTACCTCTTAAAAACACTAAAATGGCATTTGGTAAATAGAATCTATATTGAAAAAATACTATAATAGGCCAACATCTGTAGACAAAAATCAGTTGATCATCAGCATGAGAAAGAAACATTAATGAACAAAATAATCTCTAAAAATATTTTTGTGAGATAATCTAACCAGTAGATTTCTTTTAAAATTTATTTTTTAAAAAGAAAGCTAAAAAAAATTAAAAAAAAAAACACCCTAGAGTATCTCCTCACACCCTGATGAAGGGGCGTCCTCACAGTAAGAACAGGTGCCAGCAGCTCACAGATCCCACGACGACTAAGCCAGACGCAGACGCAGACGCAGACGCAAGGGGGCCGACCCCTGCCTCAGGCATCTCACTGGAAGAAGGAAGGATGAGCCTGCACGGGAGCTGCCTTCAGGTGACAAACTGAGAAAGTTTTAACTGAATCGCCATTCTGAAGTATAATTATTTTCCTCTAAGATAAAATAATTTTTCTTAAATTCACTATCAAATTATACGAGTAATTTCATCCTTTTTCTTAAAAAAAAAAAAGTGGAATCACCTGCATCACATAATGGCCACAATTATATCCAGTAGGTATTTTAAAAAGACCTTGAACAGAAACTCTCATTTAAGATTCTGGAAGCAAAGTACAGGGTCACATTTTTCAAGAAATACACACATTGTCCAGGCCTCTAGCATTTAAGGAGCACAAATGAAGAAACTTGTTTTGCCTAAAGCCTCACCATAAAATGACAGTAACAAAATCTGCCGAGTGCCTAATGCATAGTAGGCACCATGTGAGAAGTTTCTCATCCAATATCTCATTTGTTTTGAAATAGCTTATGCAGCTTTGCTGATAAGCAGGAACCAATAACACAAAGTTATGAGGAGGTGAGAATATATGCAGCAGAGGGACTCAGGGGAGTCATGGAATTCCAATAGCACGGCACCATCTCAGAGCTAAAAGACGAGTCCGAATTAGAAACGTCCTCTTAAAGAAAAAGCTTCGGCTGGATGGGTGGGGCACCCTCCTCAGCCAGACGGCAACGGCTGGCGGGGCTTACTCTCCCGTCACTGCTTCCATTCAACTGCTTCCAGTAAGGGTCTTGCTAAGGAATTATGAGCAAGAACCTTGCCCCGTGTATCTCAATTTCCCCCGAGTTTAGTGTTGTGTATCAGTTTGGCATGATTTCAAAGCGACTTGTTTATGACAAAAATAAAGTCGTTTTAAGAGTAAAGCTGTTTTAATATAAAAATGAAGATGTGTCATGATGACATCATCTCAGCTGCTCACAGGTGACCTTGGGGACTTAGCAAGAAAAAATGTCCAATGAAGAAGGAATTCTGGCAAGCGGATGTTTAGACGGTAAGTAGCCTAAAGGTCTGTGCAGGGTGTATGAGGTCCGTCTGACAGTTGTGGGCGGGCAAGGCTCGGCTTGCTGATCTAAATAGCTCTCCTGAGACCCCAGAGCATTAGCTCCTCTGCCACAGTAAAGGTGACTCCCTGACCAGCCTGCAGCAGCCCCTCAGAGAAGGACTCCTTGCCCACCAGCACTAGTGCCATCGTTCCCTAGCCATCTGCTCCAGCAACAGGGACTTCTTGTGCTGGCAGCTGAAGGCAGCTCTTTGTCGATTAAGCGGTCTCTCCCGAAAACCACCCTTGTAGAAAAGGTATGCCTCAACTAAATTTGGACTTTATTTCTCTCATCTTCCCTTGCCTGGAACAATAGTGTAGTTACTCTATCGTTGTTTTGGAGTACGTTATTTTGTTATTGGCTTAGGACATTATTATAATTCCCACAGTGAACAAGTGTTCAATAAAACACGCAAAGCAATCTCAGTCTCTGAGCATAGTTTTGCCACCCAAAACGAAACACTGAGCACACTGTCTGGCATAAAGGGGATGCTCAGTAAATCTCTGCTCATTGAATGAGGCCGTGATAACAAAAGCAGAGGCGGGCCTAAATTCCTAGGTACTGTTCCAAACCAGGCAAATGTGAAACTCTGTTATTCTTTCCATGAAGATCTTGTATCAGCTTTACTGACCCGAACTTTCCATGGATTCCTGATACAACCTGCATGCAAGTTGGATGCTACAAATGATTGACTCATAAAGTCAACGCCATACGGGGTAATTAAAAATCACCTGACCTGTGGACAACACGTAGCCTCACCAACCAGGATTATTCAAATCAATCTGGCACTGACTAAAAGCCAACTGGCCAAAGAGGACTTCAATGTCATTAACTCAAAACAGAGGAGCCAAGAGTCATACAACTTGGCTTTCGCGTTCTCACCACAGCCCATCTGTCTCACAGGGCAAATTAAGGATTTAACTCCATGCTGCCTCTTTCCTCCCAGGAGGTGGTGACCTACCACACAGAGCTCCCCGATCTGCGAAGCCTATGCTTCGACTCCAGACTCAGGTAACTGCCTGACCCCTTGAAAGAGCTCAAGGTAACCAGCTACCATCCCCGTGTCCTTGCACCCGCAGAGGGCAGTTATTGGCAGCAATGGTGCAATGGACAAAAACACGTAAGTTTTGACTTATTAGCAAATCTACTTTCTTTTTGAATTTTGTTTTCTCATTGATAAAACAGGGGTAATAAGAATCATCTTTCACAAAATGAGGTCCTATTCTCCCACCGGAAGTTCCTCAGATCGGCTGATACTGGAAATATGTAGGCCTTAGGACTTCTGACATGGAGCTCATAATGTGAAAACTGGCGATGAGGCTAATTCTAGGGACCCAGCACTGCTGGCCAGGCTATAACAAAGACCAAACAAAATAAGGGAAAAGCATAAATATGAAAATGACCTCAATCTAATTCTTCAAAAACACAAACAAAACAAAACCTTCCAGGTCCCTTCTTGTGGCACCAAAATACTTATGGTTTAGGTCCAAGGAGCCCAGTGGACTGTACGCCCAACGAACAGGAAGGTAACTCGTGCACCAGTACAGAGGTGCTCGGGCTCCTGCATCCTCGCTGCGCGGGCTTGAGCATCCATTCATCCCAGTCAGTGTGTCTGAGCCAAGTCATGGGGCTGTCTAACAGCCTGTCCCAACCAAAGAGGCGACTCAGACCATGCCCATCCACAACTGCTCCCCCAGGACGCAGCCCTGGTCTCCAGAGAGGCTGGCGTCCTCATTAAGTGAGCCAAAGGACACAATGTAGGTGGGAGTGGCCAGAGGGGAGGGGCTTGCTCATGTAGTTTAAGGAGAAAGGAAGGAGATGGCCCAAACACTGACCCTGCCGGGCAAAGACTAAACCTTGGCAACCCAGAAACATCTAACTGGCCTTTCTCCTCAAGCCAATACATTCAGAAATGTAAGACCCAGTCATAATGCTTCAAAGATGGGTAAAAAAGTAGCAACTAAAGCCAGAAAAGGGAAGCACGGGTAAATATATGGTGGTCACCTTGCCTGCCTGCCACTCTCTAGGCCACGTGGTTCACAAAATGCAGCTCCTCACGTGCATTCGATCTCACATCGTAGCATTTAGTTTCACACGAGTGCAGGTTAGCTCGGGCAGGTGCTTCTAACCCCACTTACAGAACTGCAGTTTCTGAGAAGTGAAAAAAGTTCTGTGTCTTGTTCACAGTCACATCTTCTGAATGAATATTCATTCAGAAGGCCTGGAGCACATTACCTACTGAACACATTTTAGTTGAATGAATTGATCAGATAGATAAATAAATGAGGAAAAGTCCTACTTCTCCCATCACTTCGTCATCCCCATCCTATGCAACCAGGAGGGAACAGCAAATTTTCAAGGAATGCACTCCCTTTGTGCCGTGAGTCTGCGGGAAAGCCAACATGAAAAGCAGCACACTTCAAAGCCTCTCATATTTTTTTAGTGCCAAAGGTTTTCTCTGGCAAATTCAGTTACGATACCCTTATGGGAAAAAAATGCAATTGTTAAGAAATATAAGTCAAAGGAGAAATTTCAGAGACTCCGCTGCACTTCCAGCAGAAGGAAGGCGAAAACTGCCCCCAGACACAGCAACGGTTTGAAGGATGGAGCTCCACTTGGAGAACTTTGTACATGCAGCTCTCAGGACACCTGGGTTTCAAACTACGGAATGAAACAGTTTCAAAACAATGTTGTTTCACTGTCGGCACAAAAGAAAAATAAATTAAAAAGCCCGGTGCATTTTCCAGTCTGATATAAATTAATTCAAATGGCATATTTAAAATAGGGTCAATTATACATTTCTCTCATAAAATTTTAAAAGGCAGCAATCAATCCTCAGATTGTGTAAGTGCAAAGGAATGGTATTTCTCCATAATCAAGACACCTCAATATCTGTGTAAAATCTGCCAGTGTTCCAAGCTCATCAAAATCTTGGGCCTGTGCTGTTGAAGCAGTCCTCTGGTCATACTGCTCCTTTCCCCTTAATGTCCAGCTTGTTACTGGCCTCCGACTGTTTGCTCAGCTGCTCTTCAGAGAAAGTGATATAGGAATACACCAGGCTCCCAGCAATGCTGCAAAACAGAACACCACATTCAGGGAGGAAGGAAGGGATGGCGAATGTAGGGGAGACTGGATGAGGGGTGGAGCTGCCTGTGGAAGTCAACGGCACATAAAATTAAAACAGACACAGCATTTTCATCTACCCTAGAAGCACTCCCCACGTTATGGTATTATCCACTGCTGCTGATGCTTTGGGAAAATGAACATTTGTGCGTACCTCTCAGCAGGGATGCCAATTTTATACAAGCTTTCTGGAAGACAGCAAGTCGAAATAAAAAGCCCTGGAATTCTGCTTATCCTCTGACCTCGTAATCTACTTCATTGATGAGCTGTGCACATCTTCTTAGACTTACTGACAAAGTGAGTGAAATTTTACCACAAAATTTATAATGCCAGAAAACTAAAGGGTAAATATCCCACAGTGAGAAATTATATAAATTCATCAATACAACACCATGCATCCATTAAAATGATATAAAATAAAAACGGGCAATGACATCTTAAATAATGTCATGAAACATCAAGTATTACCTAATCCCATTTTATTTAAATGAACAAGAATATGCATATTGATATGTACCAGAATAAAGTCTGGAAGGAACACAACAAGGATATTAACAATAGTTACATCTGAATGCTAAAATTATAGGTGATTTCTTTTTTATTTGTATTTTCTGCACTTCTGAAAATAACCACTCGACAAATGTTATTTTTAATAAAAATAAAAATCATCCCAACTAATAAGTAAACATGCAGACCCTGGGAGATTCGCAGAGCTGGTTTCTCTCTGACTAGAATCAGGTTTACAGTGGGAAAACCATGACCTGAGCTCTTAGCCTCTGAGTTGGTTGCTCGTACCCTTCACTTGTCCACCAGACCTACCACCAGGAGGATTCACTCTTGAGACAATGATTACTCTTGTCTACATGCAGTTTATTAGTAACTCTCAGGGTGTTCTCCTAGGTGGGCATTCATTCTTCCTCTTATGGGATATCTGAGACACTACATCTTAGGTGGGCACCAGCCTACTTTCCCACTATTACCCTCATTCTAACCAAACCTGAGTACCTCCTGCTAATCCTTCCCAGCTCCCATCTAGTGTCTACATTCAGGGCTCTGTGCTTTTGAGCAATGGCTAGAAATACTCAGCCTGCCCTTTTCCACCTCCCCAAAGCCTACCTAATGCTCAAGGCCTAGTGCTAAGTACTCTTTCCTCTATGAAGTCTCCCAAGCAGCTCTGTTTCATTCTAGTTTCTGAGACTATCACAACCTTAATTACTGGTGTCAGTCTGGGTACCTACTCTATGACACTGTGTATTAATAGCTTGAGTTCTGGCTGGTATGACTTAGTAGATTCAGTGCTGGCATGCGAACCAAAGACCACTGGTACAATTCCTGGTCAGGGCACATGCCTGGGGTGTGGGCCAGGTCCCCAAGTGGGGGTGTACAAGAGGCCGCTGGTCAATGTATCTCTCGTACATCAACATTTTCCCTCCTCTCCTTTCTCCCTTCCTTCCCATCTCTCTAATAAAATCCTTAAAAAAGATAGTTGTTGAAAACTCTTTTGAGAGAATGTATTACAAGTACCTTGTCACAGCTATTATTAATGCTATATAAATGCTTAATGTTATGAATGCCACATGATTCTTCTATAAATGAAAGCCATTACTAGTAACATAATCATTTCACACTCACCCTCCTCCTTCAGTCTAATCTCAACACAGTGGCCAGAGTAATCCTATTGCAACTGAATCAGATCATGTTACTCTATTCAAAAAACTCAACGTCTTCATTTCTCTTAACAGTAGTCCCTAACAGAGACGTGACTTGGGGTGGTTGGACACACAACACAGGTACACATGGTATGTTGTGGAATTGTGCACCTGAAACCTGTGTAATTTTGTTAACCAGTGTCACCTCAATAAATTTAATAAAAAATAAAATAAAATAAAAAAACAGTATTACCTAAGTGCCCTTGTCATTTCATTCACTCCCCTCCGCTCCGCCACACTGGGCTCCCTGTGGCCCCTGGAACACACCGAGCGCACCCCGCCCCTGGGCCTCTTCACCTGCTCTGCCCTCCAGGAATCAGTGTGGCTCATTCTCTCCATTTTCTCTGGTCTTTACACAAAGTGCAACCTCCTCAGTAAGTGCCCCCACCCCCAAAACACTGCTTTATTTTTCTGCAGTACTGTTTATCACATTTATCACCAGCAAAGAGTTCCCTCATTTATCTCCATTCATTTTCTGTCTCCTCTAGTGGAAGGAAAACTACATGGAGGGCAAAAGTTTGGTCAGTTTTGATAGCAGCTCTATCTTCACTGCGTAAAACAATGTTTGGTACCTGGAAGGTACCAACCATATATTTATTTATAAATAAAGGACTCTCCTGGCTAAATTACAAATTCCCTGAAGATAAATACTAGTCTATGCATTTGCATGCACTATATAGTCACTTCCTTTAATATATGTACAAAAAGGATTCAGCAAGGATCCAACTCTTACCCTGCCTGCAAAGGGAAATAGGAGAATAAAGACAAATCAGGCAGGAAATAAGCAAGGAGACTTTGGAAATGTTCAAACAAAGAGGGGCCATTTAAATTTCTTACCCCATGTGCCTTCACATGGTTAAATTACGAGGCGTATTTTAAAAGTCATACCAGGGTTAGCATCTCAGCTGATTCTTACTATGCTAGCTGTGTGCTTTGGGCAAGTTATTTCACCTCTCTGAGCCTCCATTTCATTATTGTAGACTGGGGAATGATTAAACAAGATGACACTACAAAGGTGGCCTTCACCTACCAGGTACTCAACAAGCATTAACTTCCAATCTGTTGCCTTCCCAGGTATCTATTTATGTCCTTTCTATACTTGGATAAGTGTTGGTCTGTGCATACTCTTTAAAAATAGAAGTCACAGAATTCCGGCCAGAATGTGAACCATTCTATCTGCCTAGGACTTTTAAGATAACTGTCGTATGAAAAAGAACCCATTCTTCAAAAAATGCCTGCACAGGCTGGTGTGGCTCAGTGGGCTGAGTGCCAGCCTGTGAACTAAAGTGTCACTGGTTCAATTCCCAGTCAGGACACATGCCTGGGTTGTGGGTCAGATCCCCAGTAGGGGGTGTGTGAAAGGCAACCACACATTGATGTTTCTCTCTCTCCCTTTCTCCCTTCCCTTCTCTAAAAATAAATAAAATCTTTAAAAAAAAAAACAAGATAACCAAAATGGTATAGATACTTTCAAAAAATAGTTTAGATATTTCTCATACACATACACTTACCATAACACCCAGGAATTCCACTCCTAGGTATTTATCCCAAATAAAATGAAAATTTATGTTCAACACAAACTTCTAAGCAAATGTTTTAGCAACAAGTGCGAAACAAATAAAAACTGCAAACTTGTCTTTCAATTGCTGAGTGGATAAACTGTGATATATCCATAATGGACTACTACTCAGCAATTAAAAAATACGAACTACTGATAAACATAAAATCTTAAATGAAAGAAGCCAGACCAAAAGCTACATAATGTTATGTATCACTGTATGACATTCTGGACACTACATGGATAGAACACAGGTATTTGTCAGGGGCAGAGGTGCAATGCAAAGGGACATAGGGAGATTTGGGGGGCAGGGAGGTGATAAAACTGTTTTTTATCTTAAATGTGGTATAGGAGGTACCTGACGGTATGCATTTGTCAAAGCTCATAAAACTCTACACTAAATGGAGTGAATTTTACTGTACTTAAGTCTATATTAATTTTTTTAAGTGGAAGAGAATCACAGATAAAGATGAGTTCTAGGGATTCTCAGAATTCCATGCTGCGCAGTTATGAGGATGATGATATCATCTAGAAAGGCCAGATTACGTGGGTCAAAGCCACAGGCCAGAGCCCAGCCACTGACAGAGGTAGAGTAGCCTGCTGGGTCGCCACCCTTCACTATTCACTCCCCACCCTCTCTGTCACGGGCCTAGGCTTAGATGAGCACCTAGAAAGTGGCCACTGAAAAAAGGCCTTTAGAAACAGCCAGACTCTCAACAGAGCCCTACCCGCACCCCCACCAAATGCCTCCTTGAATCACAGAATCAAATTTGGATGGAACAGAGTAGCCACCAATGCAAACCTGCTGCTTCTTGCACTTGAATCATACCAGACAGAGGGCTTTTTTAACTTAACTTAAAACAGCAAAAAAACCTAGGCAGGATGGTGGTTAGATGTACCTGGGTTTAATCATGGAATTCTTTAAGAATACAGTTCAATTAGTGATTTCCTTCAAAGTTCAGTCAGTCAAGGATAGAATGACATAATTTCCGAAGTAAAATCTGGTAAGTAGCCACCTTAAATTTGGTTTTTATATTAAAAAAGAAACATGCAAAGAAACATATAAATCTGCTTACTAACCAGTGGAAGATAAATCAAAAAAATATACACCATAAAGCCATGGAAAAAACCCAGACGATACATATTTTCCTTTACAAAAGCTGAAAAACACACTGTAATGGAAACAGTATTTGAACAGAAGGTCAAACGGATTCTAACCCCAATGCTACCAATAATCTGAATGCTGGCTGCCTAGCTAAATAAATAATTTATTCTCCCCAACCTTGTAATAAAGCAGGGATTAAAGAGATATGTGTAAAATGTATTACAACAAAATGTGAAAGCAATTAGAAATTATTACAAAGAGGGACAGAATACCTATGACATTATTATCAAATACATTTGGTAGCAAAATAGTACTGCTTAACAAGAACTATAATACACTACATGACACAAACAAAAACTCCACTGGAAGAATTTTCAAGATGTTAAATTTGATACATGTTAGGCTGACATAAATTGTGACATACCAGTATACTCAGGAACTTAAAAAGTTATTTTAAGTAGCTTGCAATGTTAAAAAAGACACCTACCCTTTCTTATGAGATTATTGTAAATTTGAACTGCAGAGATCCAAACAGAAGCTTTTGTTTATTTTGGCTATCAGGTATTTCATTTTAAGGAGAAAAATAAAAATTAAAGCATCTCTGACTCGGGTCTGTATAGTGATTCTTTTTTTTTTTTTAGATTTTATTTATTTATCTTTAGAGGGAAAGGGAAGGAGAGAGGGAGGGAAATATCAATGTATGGTTGCCTCTCATGCGTCCCCTGCTGGGAACTGGCCTGCAACCCAGGCATGTGCCCTGACTGGGAATTGAACCACAATCCTTTGGTTCACAGGCCCACGCTCAATCCACTGAGCTACACCAGCCAGGGCTATAGTGATTCTTTAATCCAGATTTTTAGAAATATATGAAACTCAGGCCACATCCAAAGATAGAACTGGTTTATCATTTTGCTCCTTATATCCTGGCCCTTCCTCACAAATTTTAATGAAAGAAATAGATATTTACTAAGTATAGATGTCAAGTAATGAATTACATACTTTATACCCCTTAGATATTTCACTCTAACGACTCTAAAAAGACAGCTATTTCATCCCCATCACATAAAAAATCTGAAGCTCAGAAAAGATAACCAGTGAACTCGAAGTCCACAGCGGACAAGCTACAGAACTGCAGCTCCAAGCACAGCCTGAGACCCAGCCACTCGCCTTCCTACTGTGCCACGCAAGTCAGACACATACAAAGCATTCTTAACAGAGCTGGTATTCTCTAGCCCTGCACTTTCTTGAGAACAGTGTACTGCCACCTAGCATACTAAGTAAAGATATGTTCTTTGAAGTGTTACTTAAAAGGAGTTGAACTTCCACAAAAGAGTCCCCAGTGATTATGCATAAAATGTGAATATTTTTATGGAAAAATGGCTATTTTCTCTCCCTTTCTCAAAAAGCACTATCTAAATATGTTACACTGTAGGTACTCCATAAATGTTTGGTTAATAAATGAACAAGTCTGCCATTAAATAGCCCAACCTTAACTGTGATACTATTTGCATGCCCACAGCCTACTTGCCAAAGTGGTTATATTTAAATATTTTTACTTACCTGATATTTAAGCCAATGAAGTTCGTCCATGTGAAAATATAATCTCCACCAAAGACCATTCCAATATAAGTTATTAATATATTCTAAAAAAAAGGCAATACACTGTTATATAGATTTAACTGAGATTTTAAATATTCATATAAACTCACCCACGCCATGACCCAAACACCTATTCTTCAAATGCAGAACCGAAGAGACAATAATGAAAACCCACCAATCCTGACATGAGTGCAGTGGGAGCCAACACACTGACAGAGAAACATTAGCCTCTCCCCAGTCGATCTCTCCAAAACCAAAATGCTTTCGCCAATACTGGAACATACTAACGGGATTATCAAACGCTCTCTGCCCTGTGCTACAGACTAACAGTATAAGTCCAAATAGAGAAACACCGCTGTTACTAAGGATAGAAAACACTAGGGCACGCTTAGCAACCTTAGAAATGAAAGCTTTTCCTCTCACTGCGATAACTGTAGACTTCCGAGGGGCCAGTGAAGAAGGAAAGCCTGCTGACAAGCAAACTCTTTTCCTCTTTTTTGAAAAGAATAAAGAGAACGAGGTGGGGGGGGAGGGTTTCCCAACACGAACGCAGTTTTGAGAGGAACCGTCCTTGGTATCTTCAAAAAAAAAAAAAAACATGGGAAGTAATCTCAAAGTAGCATGCCTAAAATCACCTCTCCTGACTCCCGTTACAACCTCCAGGTGTAAACATCTTCTGCCAGTGTGGCTGGCTCTCCTTTAGTTAATCTCAGACCACAAAGGTGAAATAGAACTTTCCAAGGTTATTATTCAGTTCTTTGCTAACGTCCTTTCTTTCGTATTCATAAGTCACTGCCTCCCTCTCTGCCTTTACAACTGCCAGAAACGGTGTCACGAACATTTTCAGCAGCTGGGCTCTACTAAATTAGGCCTCTGAAGCAGAAAGTGAAGTGCTGTAGTGCTTTTAAAATGCCAAAAACAAACTTCAAAATTATTTTTATAATGGAGTGCCCTTTGAGCATTCGAAATTATGTCAGCCTCTCCTAAGTCTAAGGATAGAGAAAGCAAGTTGCCTTTGAGCAGATCTTTTAAATGATTTGATGGGGGGGGGGGGGGACAATGAAACATGTTAGCAGTAGGCAACTTGGGAAAATGTGTAACAGGACCTCTCTTAAAATACAGAGATCCAGAGATCCTGGGAGAAGGTACATTAATTCCCATAAACTGACCAAGGAACTTCAGAGAGGAAACCCAATGTTTATTGCACAAAACCAATCAGAAGTTAGACAAATAAAGTAACCATTAGGGCAACCTAACAAAGATTTGCCTTCAGGAAAAGACACCAATCCCCAAGGAAGAACTACCCAGGAAGCACAGAAGGGTCTGGTAGCTCAAAACTAATCCCCAGATTTTAGTAATACCTGAAAATCACTTGGAAACCTTGTTAAAGATGGAAATTTCCAGGCTCTTCTCTAGAGATTCTGATTCAATTATATCTGAGGTGAGCCTAGAAATTCCCATTTTTAACTAGTTATTTTAAGTAATTTTCCCACCATGCTTAAAAGGGACAAGGAATGCTGATCCAAGGGTTTAAGCCAGGGGTGTCAACCTCATTTTTGCTGGGGGCCACATTGGCCTCACGGTTGCCTTCCAAGGGCCAAAATAATTTTAGGACTGTATAAATGTAACTACTCCTTAACAGTTAAGGAGTTGAAATTACTTTCGGACCTTTGAAGGCAACCACAAGGTTGATCTGGCCCCCAGTGAAAATGACTTTGACACCCTGGTTTATAGGGTTAGGATCCTCAAGCACAGAACAGCTTTTAGCTGTAAAAGGGTATGAACTGAGAGGCTAACGGAAGGAGCTCCATGGCACATGTGAGACTCTGAAAGAGCAAGGGCACCAGTGCACTCGCATCTGTCAGGAGGTAGAATACCCTTCAACAGCAACACCACATGGCAGTGAGCAGAGACAGCAACTGTAAACTAATCAGACAGTCCGATTTTGCCCCTCTAGTTTGGAAGTAAAACTAATTCCTTTAGACTGTGCAGAGAAAGGAATATCAAAAGAAAAGTACTAAACTTTATGTTAATGAAAGCATGATTGTATTTGTACCCCATGCACTAAAAAATTCAAAGCCAACAGGTTTAGTTATCAAAATTAAACATAGGCCTTCTATGTTTAATATGTTTCTTCTTGGCTAAAAACATGGTACCAACAATACTGTTCTTGTTCTTATTCTGAAGATGCAAGCCACCCATTCTGCATTTAAAGCCCTTACTTTACAACACTGAGAGACGGCTGAGAGCTAATTTGGGGTGCTAAAATCATGTCAGCCAGCTAGACCGCTGAACATTAACTGTCTCTAGATTTCAGGGAATTTGCACAACTGACTGTTACAGCTTAATTTACAGTTCTATTCACACCAAACACTCCAATTCCATTGGAGTGTGACAGACCAAACAATTTCAGAAGTCACACAACTTCTGAAATTTTTACCCAAATCCAGTTTCTAAAATGAGGTCATGCAGACACCACTCCATTGGGGTTGCAAAGAGACACACAGCAGAGCAGTGAAAACTTTACCTCAGCAACCACTTCCCTCACTTTTTGACAAGAGGCATCATAAAGACAGTCCTAAAGGCAACTGTACTCTTCTCCCCAAGTGATCTAGGCTCCACCTCTCTCTGTTTTACCTGGTTTAGAAAGCAAGCCTACCGTGCTAATGGATCTTAAAGCACTAGAATTACAAAGTCAGATGAAAGAGACCTCAGGCTTCAAGCCACTAACTTCAGCTCAATATTCAACTCCACTTCGCTCTTCTGGAGGAAGACAAATGAACCTCCCTCAAAACAGATCAGGAAGAACTGACATCACTGGAAATGTCAGACACAGCTTTTAAAAGTGGGCCATTCAAGGTTTGGCTCACGCACAGGAAAACTACCTTGATTACCTTCTGGCAGGCATCCGTTCCCTACGGAACAGCCAGAACTCAGTGAGTCAGAGAACAGACCCGATCTCATTAGGGGTTAAAGACAGGCAGCTCCCTGCTGGGCTCGTCATCTGCCCTGTCAGAAATAGGCCAAGTTCTATATCCTCTACTCTAAGGTAACACACTCCCCTTTTCTCACACTCCTCAGAGCTAAACTGCCTGAAAGTAGAGATTATCCCTCCCTGAGTTCTTAAAGATTATTTCAGAGACCATCACCATAATTTGTCAAACAGTCAAAAAAAAAAAAGTTAGAAAATAAGGATTATGGAGCTTAAGGCCATAGTCAGACTTATTTTAGAAGAATAATTTTTCAAATAATGCAGTTACCCAAAAATAACAGTATTTTTTTCAACTTACCTTAATACAGCCAACTATTGTAGTAGTAAGAGCAGAATTATACTGAGTGCAAAGTACTGTGGCGTACATCAAGATAAACCTGGAATGAAGAAGAGGTACCTTATAAGTAAGATCCACTTGCTTACGTTATAATAATCACTAGCCAAGAAAACCAATCAGTGCTGGCTAGCCTAGTGCACTCCAGCCCTGACTGAGAGCTTTCCTACTTCACTGCTGCTTGTCCGCCCCTCTTAAGATTGTTAAAAACTTCATGAAAAGGAAACACATGTCCATTTACTGACCAGGTGTTTTTCCCAGCCTCCTTAACCAAAACCTTGAACTCATTCGTAATCACGAGCACTTTATTTAGATCAAATTCCTTCTAGTTCACTTAAACTAGATAGGAAGCTTGGAGCTCACAGACGCTGGCTGAGACGCGCACCTCCCACTAGGGCAACATGACCTGTGGACCAGGGTAAAGGCAAGAGAGATTCTTAGGGATGGAAGAGACCCAAATCAGAACTACTTTAAGAGGAGATACAGCATGCTTGTCCCAGCAGCACACTGACTAAAACTGGAATGATACAGAGAAGAGGGGATGTAAGTTCACTTAACAACTAAGTGGTAGCAGTCGGAACTCTCAGATCTACAATGAGAGTTCTGAGTATCAAGTACTCACTACTAAGGCACCACGTCAACTTTATTTTGAGCTCACTATGTACCTAGCCTGGGCCACGCACAGTCGCAAATGTCAACTGAACTTGGCTGGTGGAGGAAACAATGTGTCAGGGAAATGTGAAGGTGGAGAGAAGAGGCACATCTGCACCTCCAGCCTTCTGTGTACACTCTTCTAAGAGGAAGACAGTCTGCTAGCAAGGAGTCAAACAGTCCAAAATTTAAGAGCTGCCACTGCCATCTACTAATTGTGCAAACTTAGACAATCTACTTCTATGCCTGCTTTTTCATAAAGGAACAAAGATTATCTCCCAAATGGTCAACGTAGAAATAAAGTAAAATATATAGTTGATATATTTATCAACTATATGGTGAAAAATAATGTTGAAATATAACAGTGCTTCTCACATACTACATTATTGGGTAAATACTAGTTTTTCTCCATCCTTCTAAGCATGACTTTGAGATCATATTAGTTGCCCTGAGGGCACATTCCCAAGGGATGTGAAACAACCTGAATCTGAAGGCTTAATTATCCTAAACTGATACACTCAAGAGGCAAAACAGGATACTGAGGAATGAAGCCAAAGGAGCTCAGAACACATTTGTCTAGGAAAGCTATCTGCAACAAGGCAGCAAAGGCTTACCCCATCACACAGGAGAGGGTGAACTGCAGAAGAAAGAGTGTGTCGGCCCAGCCTTCAAAATCCATTGCCTGCAATGACAAAGCATTCGATTTTACAGCAAAATTAGCAGTCCTATTTATTAATCAAAATCCTGTGTGGTTCAGTTGGTTGGATGTCGTCCCACAACACAAAAGGTTGCCAGTTTGATTCCCAGTCAAGGCACACACCTTGACAAGGTTGCATGTTTAGTTACACTGGTCAGGGTGAGCACAAGACATAACCAATCAATGTTTCTCTCTCACATTGATATATCTCTCCCTCTCTTTCTCCCTCCCATCCCCTCTCTCTAAAAATAAAACTTAAATTAGAAAACAAAATCCTGTGTGCTTGCTCCCACCACACACACACACACACACACACACACACACACACACACACACACACACACTTCCCCGCACCCCTCCAAGAACAGAGAATGATGTTTAGGAATTTCATATAGATGAAGTGGAACCAGTGAGCAGTTTCAGAAGGTTTTCTCCTTTCCACAATGTAATGTGAGGGAGATTTTGTTCTCTCTGTTGGTACAAAGAAACTGGTATCTGCTTGAAGGTACAGGCCACATCGGGCAAATCTCAGCAGTTCTCCCAGATGGCTAGTATTAAAGGCTTCCTCATACATTAAAACATATTTCCTCCTTGTAGCATGTGAAAACTCAAACACAGCCTTAATTACACAAATTCAGCTGAAGTCTATCCTGGGAGAATTACTGTTTTAGAATAACTGATTGTGAAAGCAAGGTTTTGTTGTTGTTTTAAGGCCAAAGCAATGGAACACAGAGACGTGAGTAGGTGCTCTGATCATCTCACCTCTCATCCAAGAGGCAGGGTTTCTCTCTGAAGGACGTACCTTCTCAATATGAATTTGATAAGCAAATCTGAGAAACACTTCATCTTTTACCTCTCTGCCACCCTGTCCTGCTTCAACTTCTGCCACTTCAACATAAATCTCACTGGTCTAGGGTTCCGCCAGTACCGGGCTCCTTGTGGTTTATAAAACATAACGTGCAGTTTCACACTCACATGCCTTTGCCTGGAATGGGCTTCCCCTCAACACTTACCTGGCTCTGTTCACCCATCACAGTAAAGGTCAAGCACCCCCGCTGTGGGACTTTCCTTAATCAAGAACTCCTTCCTTTGTTTCTCAGCAGATGTGCTCTGCAGGGCCCTTCTCCCTCTGAACTGTGTCTGTCTACACCAGCTCTCCGGACTGTGAGCTGTGTGGGGACAGGACCCACATCACACTTATCTAACCATGTTCCTAACACAGCACTTGACAGACAGCAGACGTTCAGCTTGTTTATGTTTTTTTTTCTTTGTTGAAGCATTATATATCAAAAATAAAATTCACCGATTTTAAGTGTATAATTCAATGACTCTTAATAAATGTATATAGCCATGCAAACTCCATCATGATCATGATAAAAATATTTCAGTCCCACAACATAGAACCCCTAGGAGGAAAACATGGGGGGAAAAGGTCCCTGACACTGGTCTTGATAACTATCTTCCAAATATGACATCAAAACAACAGAAGCAAAAGTAAGTAAGAAGAGATGCACCCAACTAAGTAGCTGCTGCACAGCAAAGGCAGCTGTCAACAAAATGAGAAGGCAACTTACTGAATGGGAAAAAATACTGACAAACCACATATCTGATACGGGGTTAATATTCAAAACCTTTAACGGGGTTAGCATTCAAAATGCTAAAACTCAACAGCAAAGAATTAAATAACTCAATTTAAAAAATGGACAGAGGAATTAAATAGACATCTTTCTAAAGAAGACAGGTAGATGAAAAGGTACTCAACATCACTACTCACTAGGGAAATGCAAATCAAAAGCATGAGATACCACCTCACACCTGTCAGAATGGCTGTTATCAAAAAGACACAACAAGGGCTGGCGAGGGTGGAGAAAAGGGGGACCTTGTGCACTGCTGGTAGGAATGTAAATTGGTGCAGCCTCAATGGAAAACAGCATGGAGGTTCCTCAAAAAATTAAAATTAAAGCTGCCATACGATCCAGCAATCCCACTTCTGGGTATTCATCTAAGGAAATGAAATCAGGATCTCAGGGGATGCCTGCACTTCCATGTTCACTGCAGCATTTTTGACAACAGCCAATACACGGAAAGAACCTGAATGCCCATCTATAGATGAATGGATACAGAAGCTGTCACACACACACACACACACACACACACACACACACACACACACACACACTGGAATATTACTTAACCATGAGAAAAAGGGAAATCCTGCCATTTGCAATCACAAGAATGGAACGTGAGGCATTTTGCAAGGTGAGGTAAGTCAGACAGAGATAGACAAACACTCTACGATCTCACAGAAACAGAAGTAGAACTGCCAGGGCAGATGCTGGTCAAAGGGTACAACTTCCAGCAATAGGATAAAAAAGTTCTGAGGATCTAATGTACAGCATGGTATTACAGTTAACAATACTGTATTGTATACTTGAAAACTGCTAAGAGATCTTAAATGTTCTCATCAAAAAAAAAAGGCAATTTATGTGAGGTGATGGAAGCATTAATTACTGCTACTTATGGTAATCATTTTGCAATACATAAGTGTATCAAATCAATATGTTGCACACCTTAAACTTACATGTATCAATTACATTTCAGTAAGGCTGGAAAAAGTTCCCTCCTGCCCCTTTAAGGTCAATCCCCTACCCCCTTTTATGGCCTCTGGCAACCTCAGATCTACTTTATGCTACCAGTTTTGCTGTTCAACAATTTCATGTAAATGGGATTATACAGTATATACTCTTTTATGCCAGCTTCTTTCATATAACATAATGCTTAAGAAATTTATTCATGCTTTATGTGTATCAGTAATTCATTCATTTTTATTCCTGATTAGTATTCCATCTTATGGCTATACCACAATATTTTTATCTAGTCAGTGGACATTTTTTTTTGGTTGTTTCCATGACTACTTGTTTTGAATAAAGTTGTAATGAATCTTTCAATACAAGTTTCTGTGGACATGTTATTTTTCATGGGTACATGCCTAGAAATGAGATGGGCTGGTTCTTTCAATAAATATATCTTTTACTTTATAAGGAACTGCCAAACTGGTTTGCAAAGTAGCTATGCCATTTTATATTCCCATCAGTACTGTATGCATGAGAGTTCCCACTGTTCTGCATTCTCATCAACACTTGCAATTGTTTGAGACAACTCTAGCAAGTAAATGGTATCTCACTGTAATTTTAATTTGCATTTCCCTAAAGAATAATGAGGTTGAGCATCTTTTAATATGCTTATCTGCCACCATTACTGATTCTTCGAAGTGTCTGTGCAAATCTTTTCCAAATTTTATTCAATTTATTTGTCTTATTACTGAGTTGTAAGAGGTTTTAAAAAATATATTCTGGATACAAGTCCTTAATCATATATATATTTATGAAAATATTGTGCTCACTTTGGCAGTACTTATACTAAAATTTGAATGATACAGAGAAGATTAGCATGGCCCTTGCACAAGTATGACATGCAAATTCATGAAGCATTCCATATTTTCATATAGTAACATCTAATGAAATAATCAAAATAATTTCATCTGCTTTTGGAGATGATTTTTTTGTAGACTTTATAGTGCTTGAACTATAGAATTTATAAAAGGAATCTAGTTAAGGTAGACTGTTAATATATTTGGGAAAATATGAGCTATATTTTAAATTCATTGGGTCTAAAGAACCAAAAATGTCAATTTAACCCTTAACTTCTTGTGCCTAAATACCACAGGACATACATAATATACAAACACCAACCTAATTGCTGTACTTTTCTGCTTATTTTATAGGCTTATATATTACTCATTTCATGATCTTGTGATTTAAATCTTTATGCCCCTCCCTTTGATTTTTTCATAATGGTAAACAAAACTCAAACTTTCAGAAATGCAATGTGAAGTTTCATACTTTGATAAGTTATCATTATATAAATACTCAGGTTTTACAATGTTTAATTGACCTAATATCAAACTACATGGTGGAGATATTTTGGATGAGATTTAGGAACCAACTTTTTTATAAAGAGTGTTAGTATGTCATAAAATTGTAGCTTATTTAAAACCAAATACAGTTGCTCATATTCAAAGTACATTTTCACAAAATAGATGCTTTAGTATTCCTTTGGTCACTTATGAACAGTGGAACTTTTTAAAAAATCCTCACCCAAGGATATTTTTATTGATTTTTGTAGAGAGAGGAAGGGAAAGAGAGAAACACTGATTGGCTGCCTCCTATATGCACCCCAACAAGAGATGGAACCCTAATCGGGGATGGAACCTGCAACCTACTGGTGCATGGGGACAATGCTCCAACTGACTGAGCCACCTGGACAGGGCAACAGTTGAACATTTTAAAGTGTTATATGTAAAGTCTTAAAATGTCAGTTTTTATATTAAAAGTAAAAATTTGATGTTTTATTTGCAAAAAAAATTAGATTTTAAGATTTTTTATTGCAGACTTTCAGATTTTGAGTACCCTCTATCATGCTTCCATTTTTGTTATTTTTAAAACACCAAACTAATCTTTTTCCTTTAAAATACCATATGATCTCACCTTTAACAGGAAGCTAAACAACAAAACAAACAAGCAAGCAGAATAAAAACCAAGACACTGAAATAGAGAACAAGGGGACAGTAACCAGAGGGGAGAGAGAAGGCAATTTAAGGGGGAAAAAGGGGAGGGATTTGGAGGAACAAATATGAAGGACACAGGAACTAGGACTGGGGGGGGTGGAAATGGCAGGGAGGTGGGGAGCATGGGGTGGGGGGGCTGGGATGGGAGAAACAGACAAAAAACTACTTGAAAAATAACTAAATAAAATTTTTTTTAAAAATTAATCTTATAATACTGAACTCTTGTGTTAATGAGATTTTGTCACACTTCAAATAACTGAAGTTGAAAATAAGAGAAAATATTATCTCCCAGTGCAGAGTTGCCTTTTCATTTTCTTCAGTTTCTTTTAGAAAAAAGTTAATTCTGATTGTAGTCTGA